TTCTCTCTGCAATTGCAGCTTTTTTTTCAGAATAATACATCTCATGACAGGTAAATCTCTCAAGATTTTTTTAACTGTGAGACTTATTTTTGATCCAAATTTTGGTTTAACTCCAATTGTACAACGGTTCTAACATCACAGTAACCAGTATTGGTTGGTAATCTCCAACTATACTCACCTGTGTCACTGACATCAAGCCTGATAACTTGAGAGCGGATGTCAGCTTCTCAGCAGTCCTCACACTCTGTGCGTCAACTCCTGAAGCAAAACGAGAGAGAATCTGAATACATTGAGAATGGGAAACTGATCGCACACATCAAAATAAGTGAATCCATTTTATAAATGGGGTAGTTGTCATTTGTTTTCTTTTTGATATTTATTGTCAATTAGGGATGCGTGAGTATCGATACCAGGCATAGGTACTGTATTGGGCCGATACTAGCCATGGTGTTGACAACTTGCCAAGTCTGCTGATTCTAGTCACCATTACTTGTGCCTATTACGATTTACAAACCCAATTCCAATGAATTTGGGTCATTGTGTTATACATAAAAACAGAATACAGTGATCCCTCGCTATATCGCACCTTCATTTATCGCGGCTTCACTACATCGCGTTTTTTTTCCCAAAGTACTGTATTCAGAAAAAAAATGCTGAATGACTCAGAGGTTTTGTACATGGCTGTGCTCATGATTGGCTCCCGGCGCCGACATCGCCCACTGACAGGACGAGTGGATTTATCCTGTGATCTGATTGGCTGTGCAGCCCCGCCCAGCCACGTGGTTGACTCTGATCAGTGTCTAGTCAGCTGTGTACTCTCTCATCAGTCGGGATGTTCACACGGCAAGATTTGCTCCAGCGCTACGCCGGCGCTGCACCAGTAGAGCGTTCACATGTGCAAATTTGCTCCGGCGTAGCCCCGGAAAACAGCTTACACCGGAGCAAATTTGATCCACCTCAGGGAGGTGGTTTAAAAATTTGCTCCAGAGCAAATGCTCATTTGTGGGGTAGCACCGATGTAAAATGGTACGTATGAACGCTACAATTTGCTCCGGAGCAAATGCTCGTTTGCGAAGGGGGAGTAGCCTCGCTACGCATGACAAGAGTTGATTACGTACCGTGAGAATGCATTGCTTTCGTGCTCTGTCGGACTTCCGTCATGTGTTTGTTTAATAACAACACAAGACATGGCTGGTAACAGTAGCAAGCACCTCTTGGGTTATACCATAGGCTGAATAACAAATGCCGCTCTGCTTTATCAACTACGGAAGCATGGAACTGCCAATGTGGAGTAAACATTTTTAACAAGTAAATATGTTCAAACATACTTGTGAGTACGTTCCAGGATATTTGCAAGCATGTTCGAATGTACTTGTAGGCTTTATGCTAAAATCTTGGCATTTTTTTTTTTCATAATGCCACAGGTTATGGACTTGGGCATGCAGGTTAAAAAATAGTGTTTGTTTTTTTAGCATTTGGCCTTTGTTCGACCAGTACATTTGAAAATTATGTAAGTACACACAGCACCGGCGCTGCGCCAGTTGAGCGTTCACACGTGCAAATTTGCTCCGGCGTAGCGCCGTTAAACAGCTTACACCGGACCAAATTTGATCCACCTCAGGGAGGTGGTTTAAAAATTTGCTCCAGAGCAAATGCTCATTTGTGGGGTAGCACCGATGTAAAATGGTACGTATGAACGCTACAATTTGCTCCGGAGCAAATGCTTGTTTGCGAAGGGGGAGTAGCCTCGCTACGCATGACAAGAGTTGATTACGTACCGTGAGAATGCATTGCTTTCGTGCTCTGTCGGACTTCCGTCATGTGTTTGTTTAATAACAACACAAGACATGGCTGGTAATGTACCAAGCACCTCTTGGGTTATACCATCTCAACTAGAACACACAAGACATGGCTGGTAATGTAGCAAGCACCTCTTGGGTTATACCATCTCAACTAGAACGTGGGGGCGGAATAGTCCCCAAACGTCATTTTTCCTTTTGTAGGAGACCGGACTGTCTCAGAGTTGTTTGTGTAGTTTGTTCCTTTGTTGTGTATTCACAACCCCCCGCCCCCCAGCCCTCCCATAGAATTTATTTTGTGATTTCCTCTCTTGATTTTTCTGTTTGGCGCATTAAATTTTTGCTTTCTGAGTGTCATTGAAGTCATCGTTGATTTACGTTTTCGGGGGCAGTCACTCTTGAGCAGAAGGCACGGACACCGAGAAGGAGAAGGACGTGCCCGTACAGTAGTTGCTTGAGTTGTGTATAAGTTTTAAAAAGAACCAACACGACAGCTCATTTGTTTTCTGTCGTTTTGCTCCGCTGCAGAAACTGCCATGTGACCGCAAGTGGAGCTGAACCGACGCTGACACACTCAGCGGCTTTGTACGTGCGACCGCTCCACAAAATTTGCTCTGGTGTAAAATATATCGCAACAAAATACATTGGTGCAGCGCCGGAGCAAATGTGTGCCGTGTGAACACCCAGTGTCTCCTCACGCTGTTGTGTTTGCTACGTGCATGGGGCGGGGGGGAAGCACATGCTATAGCAAAAGCAAGCGCAAGATTGTTTAGCAAATAGTCATTTCGAATGTTATGGCGAATGTTATGGCTGCAAAACATTCCAAAAATGCTGGGACAGTTGGCCGAAAAGAAATGCTGTTGAAACATCTGTTCATAACATCCCATAAGGGAATAGGCTAACTGGGAACAAATGGGTGCCATGATTGGGAAGAAAAGGAGCTTGCCTGATTCACAAGCTAAGATGGGGCAAGGCTCACCTCTTTGTGAACAACTGCGTGAGAAAATAGTTGAACAGTTTAAGGACAATGTTCCTCAGCATACTATAACATACTATTGCAAGAAATTTAGGGATTTCATCATCTACGGTCAGAGGATCTGGAGAAATCACTGCATGCAAACGGCAAGACTGAAAACCAACACTGGATGTGTGTGTCCTTCGATCCCTCAGGTGGCACTGCATCAAAAAGCAAAATCAATGTCTAAAGCAGCGGTGTCCAAAGTCGGTCCTCAAGGGCCGCTGTCCTGCCTGTTTTCCAGCTCTCCCAGGAGCAACACACCTGATTCGAATAATCAGGATCGTTCTAATGCTGCTTCAGAGCTGGCTGATGAGCGGACCACCTGAATCAGGTATGTTGCAGCCGGTAGAGCTGGAAAACAGGCAGGACGGTGGCCCTCCATGCCCGGAGCTGAACATGCCTGGTGTAAAGGATATCACCACATCAGAAAACCAATGTCACTCCATCCCAACTTAAAATTCTACTATGCAAAGCAAAAGCCATTTATCAACATAGGCCCAAGTTCATTTCAGGACTGATGCAAAGTGGAAAAGTGTTTTGCGGTCTGACGAGACCACATTTGAAATTGTTTTTGGAAATTGTAAACGTTGCCTCTTCCTGAGGAAAAGCATCATGCCAACTGTTGAGCACGCAAAGTTGAAAACGCAGCATCTGTGATGCATTATTGCTCAAAGGTTTTGGAGAAATATCCACTGCCATCCAAGTGATGTCTTTTTTATAGATGCCCCTGCTTATTTTAGCAAGACAATGCCAAACCACATTCTGCACGTGTTACAATAGCAATGAATTCAGAGTAAAAGACTGCGTGTACTAGACTTGGTTGCCCACAGTCCAGACCTGCCTCCCATGGAAAATGGCGCGTTATGAAGCGTATAATACAACAACAGAGACCACGGACTGTTGAACAGGTGAAGCTAAACATCACGCAAGAATGGCAAAGAATTCCACCGAGAAAGCCTCAATGGTTTCTGTTCTCGGTTCCTAAATGTTTATTGAATGTTGTTAAAAGTAAAGGTAATGTGTCTTTTAAAGAGCTAGGCAAATACATTGTATTGTTGTTATTATTATCATCATCATCACCGTCATTATTTTTTTTCTTCCACATAATAATGGTGAAGCTATTGTATAGAGTCTGTTGTTTGATTGTGCACAGCTGTGTACCCCATGGGCACCAGCCAGTTAAACACAAATTTCACTCAATAAAGACATATACCGTATTGGCCCGAATATAAGACAGCCCTGATTATAAGACGACACCCTCCTTTTCAAAACTCAAGTTTGAAAAAAGACTTTTTGAACACCAAATTAATTTTTATACAGAAAATAATTACAGTACATCTGAAATAAATGATTATAACAATATATTTGAGAGAAAAAGCATGTTATATTTTGCCTCATTCAAATCTTAATATCTCAACATTTAAATATGTAAACCAAAGTGCAATCACATTCGTAAATGAATGGCTTCTGGTTTTTGAAATGTAAATTACATCATAACTTTTCCTCAGCTGCCGGTTAACCGGGCCGATCTTCGACCCACTTTTCTCCAGATTGTCGCTACGTTTCTCCATTTTCTGTTATCTCTTCTACAGGGATGAGAGTGGCTAGTGATGAAAAAAGCGGAAAGGGGCGTGGCCGGGACAGGACGGGGGCGGGGCCACTTACAAAAGTGGCACTAAACATGCTCAAGATGAAGTGTATTCAATTTACACACTATTTGAAACT